CATTAACATACGCTTACTGATTTGAAAGTTATATCATAAAAACTATAACAAGCACCAAATGGTAATGAAGTCAGTCCCAGGAACCAAGCCCATGCTGAAAGAATTAAAAGAAAATCAACTTGCTGTAATAAAAAGTTTGTAAACTTTTTCTAACTCTTGCCATTTTCTATTCATCTAACCTGGTAAACGAAGTACATATGGATTGACACTGTAAACCAAGTTATCTAAATGAATTTTCGTTTTTGGAAACCTATTCAGTACTTAAATATGTTTTAACAACATTTATGAGAAACCCATTTGTTTCAAAAATTTTCTTTTGAAGTAATCTACTTCTTCATGTAACCATATAACCGTTCTTTTGAATCACAAACAACTTCGGAAGTGGTCAATAAAGTTTTTATAACCAATATGTATTAGACTTATGATGAGCCAAAGTCCAACTCAAACAGCAATTAGTATCAAGTTTTTTTAAATATCTTTGTTTGAAAAGCTTATTTACTTTTTTTTAATCATAATGTGAAGGACAAAAAGTTTTTCCCCTACTTATTCTCATTGGTTCAGTATAATGAATTCAGATATATTATGAAGTGTCCAACCATTTATCAAGAAAGAAAGCCAGTAAAAGTTACATCGACACATCCAATATAAAAACAAAAATGTCCTAGGTTGACCATACTCTCAACTTTGTAATCAAGCATGTTCACGACAAAAGTCAGAATGGATAATAAAAGGGTACCTATACTTGTTCCTTCAACCTTATCATAAAAATGTAATTGAAATGCAGTTGTGTATTTGTAAAAATTAATATTTCTTTTAATACAATATAATGTTCTTGTACATTTGCCCTTCTATAGAAAGAACCCAATTTTTGCACTCAGCAACACTTGGTTCAATTTCCCTACCTTTAGTAAGATTTTAGCTAAACGTGTATAGCGTCTGTGATGAACAAGTATTACTTAAATTCCTCTTTCTATTTTGATAATCACAATAGTTCATTCACAACAACAGAATAACTCTTGTCAGGAACTAAAATGGCAAATAGTTATTTCTTTAATTAATAGTTGTTTGTAAGCATTAATTTCCAACTTTTGTCAAATTAGGTTTTAAACATTTTGATTTAATCATCAGTTTTCTTACTTTATCAGAAAAATCACTTAGAAGATTTGATAAAAAAAACAATCTTAAGAACATAAGTCCTACAAGAGACTGATTCCTTGCTCCAGTTTCCTGAATGGTTAGTTCCATTTTATCCTCCTTTCATGTTGATTGAATAACCAGTTTTCTAGCACAATCTTACCATAAAGCTTTCATATCAAAAATAGGAGTTCTTTTGGGAAAATACAAAAGTTAAGTCTTTTTATTCTAAGAAATAAAACTGATCAAACATGAACTCAGTTGAAGATAAAGTGTGAATGGGGATAGCATTTTTGTTTACAAATTCAAAAAATTTATTACAATTACTGTATTATAGTCTCTGACAATTTTGGTTCTCCAAACTCTCTATCGCCTGAAATGTCAAAAAGGCATAATCTTCAAGTACAATCAGCTTCACCAAAGTCCTACCAGTACAAAAAACTGAATTCTTGATACTTCAGTCATTTATGCTCACATAATAATGTATTTTGTAGAGTTAACACTAACCTTTCACACTTTTATTTCGTACGGGTAATTTATGAGAAATAATTTTTTAAATAAGACCTCAGTGTTGCAAGTCTTAAAGACTACATTCAGTTCAATTCTCTTACCTTGTACATGAGTCTTATGTAAGTTTATAATTGCTTTGGTAAAAGCTCCATAATGAGTAAATAAATACAATCCTAAATAACCCATCATTTTTTCACAATAACAGAATCCTCAAGAAAAGAGAAGACAATTAGCAAGCACAACCTCAATTACTTGATGCACAACCTAAATTGTATTTAATACATGCATATACATTAAAGTTAAAATAAGTATAAAGGGCTAAAGGCTTCAATAAATAAAATGAGAGTTAGGCTTATATCTATTTTAAGGTCAAGGTTATACTGACAATGTCACCAGTAGCTGCATATAAACGTGTTGTACTGTTGTGTAATGTACCACATGATGTCATGTTAACAGCGTTTAAAATTTTTAAACGAGTTGTACCATTGTGTAATATATCAGATGATGTCATATTAACAGTGATAAAATGTTGTATTGTGGTGTACTCTTTTTCAATCCTGTGTTTAGTTATATAAACTGTTTTATACATATTCTACTTAGTTGTACACAAAAATGAACAGTATCAATAAAGTAGAAAAGATGTTCACTATTATTGTTATTACATTTTATACTAACTTGTAACTGAAAATGTGTCACTGCTTTCTATTTCCACCCATAGGTTTAATTGTTCTTTTTTTTCAGATATCTATGCAGAGCTACTCAATGGCTAGCTGAACTATCCTTCCCTAAAGATAGACCATAGAGAGGAAACAGCTAGTCAACAATACCCATTGTCAACTCTCTTGGGCTTCTCTTGCCAGACCAAATAGTGGGATTTGATTGTCACACTTATAAAATATGCACAGCTACAAAGTACTAAACACAATTTTTTTATGTTAGTGGTAACAAGAGCAAAGTTTTAGAGCAAAAAATCTGTGTTTCAGAACAGAGGTTCTGTGTTTTAAAATACAATACAAAGAAGTTTTCTAGTTCAAATACCTTGAGTATCCCTTTGTGACTAAGTAGGAGGTTTGACGTCTTTAAATCACGATGTAGGATCCAATTGTCATGGAGATGAGTCACAGCTCTCAAAAGCTGGATCATTAATGTCTTCACTTCTCCTGTAAAAGAAACAAATTAAGATTTATACCTAACCCAAACAAGATTGTGCTCATTAGATGTAATTATAATTTCAAAAGTTTTGGCTCACTGAACAGTAGATTGCTGTGTGTTCAATTTCAAGATATTTTGATTCAGCAATGGTATATAAAATAAAGGGCATGGCACAGGGGAAATTTATAAATTTTTCCTAATTTGTTATGGTGGTTACGAGGTTGGTCAAATCAACCTACCTCATATAGAGTTAGACTAAAGAAAATAACAGATAAAATATAGTTTTTCTGAAAACAAAAAACATCTGATATTTATTTAGGAGGATTTAGGGGTTATGCAAATAATATTTGAAAATTTTCAAATGAAGAAAAGTATTTTTAATCTTATCATGAAAATTACTTTGCACTCATAAAGGGAAACAACATGCAGTTTAAATTACAAATAAACATTTTCATTGACAATGAAGTACTTTATTTCTTTTTTATTTGGGGGGGGGGGTATTAAATTCTACTTATGAGATGCTTAAAAAAAAGTTGAGAGTTGAGACCCTTCTCTGTAGGATCCTAGCGAGAACCCTGCTAAACTATATAAAAGTCTGTACATACATAGATATGTTTAAATAAATCATTTAAACTAGATCTTTGGAGTAAAAATATTGGCTACACATTATTAATTTACTATTATTGATATATTTAAACTTCTGTACAATAAAGTATAAATGTAACAACAATATATTTACTAATTCTTCTGCTCATTTTGTAAAACATTATTCTAGTTTATACTTGTTTATGATTTTATGGTCACTGTCTTTGGAATTCTCAAAAGTTCAATGGTACAACTTAACGAAAAGCTACTTCATAAGTCTACTTAATGTCACTTAGCTTTGATATGTTAATCTTAATAATGATGACATCTTAAAGGTTTATGTTAATCTGACAGGTAGGTCTTTTCATTACATCAGCATGGCTGAAAATGTTCAGATTTTGCCCGTTTAAAATTTTAAAAATTAGCAAATGCAGATTGGACACTTAACATACCTAGATACACACATGTAGTGCACATGAGTACAAAATTATAAACAGGATCACTATTCTGAACCATTCTGTTACCAATTAGTGAAAAGAACAAAATACATATTAACCTAACCTCCTTCAACAATAACAAAAAAAAAAAAAATTACCCACTGTGGGAGTTTTATTTTTATGAGTAGTTTCATATGCATGTTTATATCTAGCAAAGAAATTGTATTAAATTTAAAATCTACAGAAAAGAAAGCATGACTCGATAAAATCTCTTTCCTTTAAAGAATTTCAAAAAAGACCCAAAACCCGAGCACTTTTGAATGTTTCTATTTCTCTATATTATTGTTATTAGTACTTCTTATGTATCATTTTACATTAATTACTTCTCTAATTCCCATCCCCAATATATTTATTTTATTTTTCTAACCTATGAAAATTGTTCTAACATCTTTTTAACTATTATCACTCCTGTGTCTTTCATGCAATGTACACATTTCTTTTGTATAAACTAATCCTGATACGAATGTCTCCATTTATGATTGGCTCATCTCAAAGGTCAACTAATCTGGAACATCAAGCTTACATGATGTTGACATCTGTATCTATACATTACATTGTACTCACTAATCACATCCGTACCTATACATTACATTGTACTCACTAATCACATCCGTACCTATACATTACATTGTACTCACTAATCACATCCGTACCTATACATTACATTGTACTCATTAATCACATCCGTACCTATACATTACATTGTACTCACTAATCACATCCGTACCTATACATTACATTGTACTCACTAATCACATCCGTACCTATACATTACATTGTACTCACTAATCACATCCGTACCTATACATTACATTGTACTCACTAATCACATCCGTACCTACATATTACATTGTACTCACTAATCACATCCATACCTATATATTACATTGTACTCACTAATCACATCCGTACCTATATATTACATTGTACTCACTAATCATATCCGTACTTATATATTACATTACACTCACTAATCACATCCGTACTTATATATTACATTGTACTCACTAATCACATCCGTACCTATACATTACATTGCACTCACTAATCACATCCATACCTATACATTACATTGCACTCACTAATCACATCCGTACCTATATATTACATTGTACTCACTAATCACATCCGTACTTATATATTACATTGTACTCACTAATCACATCCGTACCTATACATTACATTGCACTCACTAATCACATCCATACCTATACATTACATTGCACTCACTAATCACATCCGTACCTATATATTACATTGTACTCACTAATCACATCCGTACCTATACATTACATTACACTCACTAATCACATCCGTACCTATATATTACATTACGCTCACTAATCACATCCGTACCTATATATTACATTGTACTCACTAATCACATCCGTACTTATATATTACATTGTACTCACTATTCACATCCGTACCTATATATTACATTACACTCACTAATCACATCCGTACCTATACATTACATTGTACTCACTAGTAATCACCCTTTATTCTCCTGAAGAAGAATACTCAAGTTTGGGTCTTTTCTGAAATTCATTGCACCTTTTATATGTTATCCTGTGTACTAACTCTTTTATCTTTCCTTTAATGATTTTCATTTTTAAATCTAAGCAACAAGGCCAAAACACAAAATACCAGATATAAGAGACAGTCAAATAGAAAACCATAAGATCTGCAAAGGTCAAGTATACATCTTCATCACTGGGTGTGTGTCTGTCTGTCCTACTTTTGCAGATATTTCTCTTACTAGAGTATATTTTACCATACTCACGATGAAATGTGTACATTAGTTTTATTTGTTTTTCCTTTACATTCAGTGCTTTTTTATTTTAAGAAAGATTTTATATAAATAAACATACAGATACAAAAAAATATTTAGATTTAAAATAGAAAACTTTAACTCCACATGACATAGTACAACGGCTGTGTAGCTTATTTGTAAAGTCTAAACTATTTGAATGAAGCCAAGGATACCTGGAGTTTAAAGAAAATAACAACACTCACATAACCAAAATGAGAAAAAAACATACTGCATACTTTTGTATGATGAAAATCATTTCCTAAATATTTTTATGCCTGAACTCTTACAACTGCTACAAAAAGCAAAGGAGTTACACCGACCAAGGATGTTTTATTTAAAGTGAAAACTCAATATTATAGTTCACAAGGAAAAAACATCAACTTACCAACCAAAAATGGATGTTTCATAGTCTCCATTAAACTCTTGAGATCATGCTCCACATAGTCCATCACAATATAAATTTTGTCCATGTTGCTTCCAACAACTATTTCCTGTAATAAATCATGAAAACAACCAATTCAAGACTCTACTTGCATAAAGTTTATATCATGATATCTACAATGACTACGGGGATTAAAATTAAAGCATTTTTCAGAAACTTTTCAAGGCAAGGATATATAGTTTGCTAAAACCTTGTCAAAATAACTTATTTTCAATTAGTTTTTTTGCCCAATCAGATTTATAATATTCATAAGATCTTTCAACTACCAAGTTGATATTTTTAAATTGAAAATGTGAAGCTCAAAAATCCTTCATTAAAATGGAATATAAACAAACATTTTACACCTTATGTATCAGTTATTTTGACAGCAATATAATCACTATGTATCTAAGAAGACTATTTTATGTCAAAATTAAAAATATATTTATATATGCATGTATTGCTATATATATTTATTTATTCATCTACTGATTAATTTGTTCATTTATTTCAATTGCTTTTTACATTTCAATGCTACAAAGACAGCTGTTTCAATCACAGATAGTAGATGGTAAGATTTCCATCATTGGCTAATCCACCAAAGATTGGCAACTGACTGCTACTGAATGAGAAAATATAATAGTTTAATAATGGCAGCATTCATGAAATCATTATGTTTATTGTAGGTGATGAAGAAAACAATCGTGCTCTTTATTTATAGCACAAAAATCATGCATTGCTGTTAAATCTGTGTTACAAATTTGCAAAAATGATGTCTTACAAATTAATCTCAATAATGTGGTGTGGAGTTATTAATATTTTTATTTTGCATTAAAATACCTTCCATAGATGTCATACTTACAACAATCAGTCGGTAACAATAGTACATATGCAATATAACAATTTCTATGACTTAAGTTTAAAAATTATAACATAAAACTTTGGCTAATACACCTTTACTTCACTAATTGTCAGCATTAAAGAATGCTACTGTTTTGTTTGAATTGAAAAAATTTTAACAAACATTAATATATAAAACATTATAGAATTACAAGTGCTTTTTTAAACAATATCACTAGTGGTTTAGTTTTCTAAATATTTATTATGACAAAATCATAATACATTTATCAATATTTTCATCCTTCTGACTGTTCTATTGAGAGTAAATAACCTTTCCCAATGAACAATATAAGTGACATTTCTCAATTACTAAGAAAAGGGGGGTAAATGTCAGTAGTAAGAACAACTCTTACTAGTGTATTCAGATCTCTGTATATGTTATGTGGATCTCTGCAGCAAATGAAACATTAAATTGATTGATGAGATATGTAACTTGATTAACATTAATGTTACACATTACATAAAAAGGTATGTGTAACTTTCTATAATACAAAATGTTAATAACTGTTAGGTAATAATATTTTTCTGGTATGATTAGTTTACAGCCAAATAAAAAACTATATGACATAGCTATGTACTATCTCTTTATACAATATGGCTATAAATATTGACTTGAAAAAATACTTATTTTTACTGATAATTGAAAAGAATTATATCTGGAACAATCATTTGTACTATGTATGTGTTGTAAAGAAGAATGAATGCAAATCTATTCTAAAAAAAGAAACATTATATTTGTTCTAAACATCATTGTAACTACTGACAGAACTAAAAAAAAATCTCTCTAATAATAGTTCTTTACTGAACTTAAGAAAGAAAGAAAGAACTAATTTACTTACTCTGACTGTTACTATGTTAGGATGTTGTGCCTTTAATAAGGTGTTAATTTCTCTTAAAGATGTGATAGGAAATCCTTCCTTTTCCTTCTCCATTTTCAGTCTCTTCAAAGCAACAATTTCATCTAAAATTGTTACAACACAAATGAAAAATGTTAAGATATTTGAGATAATGAAATACTTGTATATCTTTTTGCACAAATTGTATTATCCATTTGAAAGTCTTGAAAGATGCACTTATAACAAAATCTCAATTTATATACTATACCAATTTCACAGAACAAAACACATGAATTCTAGCATTTTTAGGATAATGCTGAATATACCAGACAAGAAACTAAATAGTCTGGAACCAGCATTAGTGTTTGAACAACAGTTTAGGTATATATATATATATATATTGAACACATTTGTCTAAACATTTAATCCGATAGTGTATCTTTTGTAATAAAAAATAGTGTTCCATGATAAAACAGACTTTCAAAAACATAACTCTTTACAAACAAACAACATTAACCCTTTCCAGCCCAGTGACATTAAAATGGCCATTTCCATATTTGGTTCATAAAAATTAATTACCATATCAGAAACACTTAAAACCATTAGGCATTTTTTGATCATTATTTTGAGAGTTTAAAGTTTATATTAAAACAAAACCACTATGTGAGCTACATACTATACCATTAAGCAATACATCCATATATGTTCACCACAAAACCAAGTTTCAAGTACATGCTAATTAGCAATGATACAAACACAGAGAAAATGACATCATGCACTAGTCCACTTTAATGAAAGAAATTCTGCACTAAAATTTCTTGCACATTTTTAAAACTAAAACTAATACAACTGATTTAACTTTATATATGTCATTTATAAAAATTACCTCTTTACTTCATTGGGGTTAAAGTTCACCATAAGTTTCAAATTACCAATGGAAGATTTTGTAAAGCAAATACCAAAGTAACTGCTTCAAGAAAATAAACAAGCAGAGGAATGAATAAAATCAATTTATTACTATTATGTGGCATACAACTAATAAGCAATTGAACCATGATATATTTGAAGGCATGTGATCAAGAAAGGCTTCTGGCATATTAACAAATTTTAGGAAATTACAATCTGAATCAACATAAAAAAAAAGGGGAACTCTTGGGCAAATAGTGAGCAAGAAAATACATTCAAAATTTTAGGCAATATATTTATGATTTTATTAGTTTTAGAAGTTTGGCAACTATAAACCAAAGTGTTGCTGGATTTTAGCTTTTGACAGCACAAACTTCATAAAAATTGGTGTTTTCAAAAACCTTGAATAGAAATAAGCAATAAACACATATATGAACAATTCATTTGTAGTTTTATTTTGCAAGTGATTTGAGGTAGAGGATCAGACAATGTTTTAAAACATAATGTTGTCATGTATCCTTTTAAAAAGCACAATACTGAGCTGAAAAGGGTTACACCTCCTTTGGCTTTTTATTGGTTATAAATAATACAGTATTAAACATCAGAGAGAACTATTGACAATTTCTGTGAGAGATGATGTGACAGGTGGGCTTGTAAAGAGGGGGTCTGTAACCAAATAAAATTGAAGGCTATAAAACTTATGCTTTGCCTGAGCAATGACAACATTATAATGAGTAACTTACATTAAATTTCATATTTCTCAGAGGGGGTAGTAAATGAATTAGAGAAGATGGGAGACCTAGAAAACAAATGTCACAAATTTCATACTAGGGGAAATTCAAGATTTTCTAAAAATATTGCCTTATAAAATTAAGAACTTAAAACATATCTAATACTAAAATTTGGATTATTAACTACATTTTTTATGCCAAGTTTGTTGTATCCCATAAGAAAAAGATAGTTTA